TACACCCTATTATCCTACACCGCGCCGCACTGGATCAATTCTTTGTTTTCCTAACAAATAATAGGAAAATAAATCCTAATAAATTCCTAAAAATATCAGAAAAATTTCAGAAAATTACAGAACAATTCTAGAAAATAAAGAAACCATAATTAACTCTCTTGGGTCACAAATCCACCTATAGATTGATTTTAAAATATACATAACACCTATATATATCAATTAAAATCCAATAATCTAAAAATCAAATATAATAGTTTATACTTTTTAATTATTCCGATCTAACCATAATTTTTAAACAAATAAATTTAATTAAAGCCTTGATACTCAAGGTGAAATCCTTATGAGTTCTAAGAGGAAAGTTAGAGAAAACTCGCCTGAAGGTTTCGAAACGAAACCGACGCTTTAAGCTTTAATTATCTCTTCCAATTCCGACGTCCTCCTTTTCAGATCCGACCTCCTCCTTGTCAGCCCTTCTTCTTCCTCTCTCTCTCTGTCTGTTTTATTTTTCTAACGTGTAAAACCTTTAACCCTAAAGCCTTATGTGTATTTTTATACACCTTAAATTCCAAATCCTATTCCAACTAGTATTATGAATTAAAATAATAATCTTTAAATAATTTATATCTATAAACATATATATATATAAATATATATTCCTTCCATAATTAACTCATTAGTTAATTAAATCATATATACTTATAAATATCAATAAATATATATCTATATATATATCTTTCCATAACAATTATTAATTAATTATATTTATATATAATTATATATATATATATATATAAATATAATTGATACAAAAGTGATCATTTAAATAATTAAATAACCACGGACCTTCATTAATTAACCCAATAAGGTTTCATACAAGCCCAAGACCACATCTTTTGGTCCAACTTTCCTTAAGCCCAATCCAATTAATTTAAATAAATAAGATAATTAATTAAATATAGAAATTAAAATAACTAATTACATGAAGCACATAAACAAACAAGAATTTACAACTAAGTCATATAATACCAATAAAATCAACACACCAATAATTCAATCAATAATCAACCACACAAACAATCAATCATCATACATAATCACGAAATATAACTTAATTAAAATAAGATAATTAATCTAGCACTCAATAAAATAAAATAAATCATTGAAAAATAAAATAAAATAATTAATCCTAATTAATAAATCTTTTAAAATTATCGGGGTATTACATCTTATTTATATAAATTCGTGAGGAGTTCGTTATAGAGATCGCTATTGTTTGAGTCACGCCAGTATTTGTAAATTTCGCAGATGGATATTATTTTTTATTTTTTTTTTCTGCTTTAGTTATGAACGTTATTTTCTTTTAGGGGAAAGGCGAGTGCCTGGGTTGTAGTTGTGGGTCTCGTGAATGCTATACTTATAAATCATAGAATGATTCGTAGAGGAAACTAACCCCCAATATTGAGTGATGGATGGGCCATGCTCTCTCCAAACAACTTAACAAGTAAGCAATGTCACAGTAGCTGAGGAATGATTTTCCTGGAAGACGTAGCAGGTGTGTGATTGGTGTTGCATTTTTCCAAGTCAATTGGTCTTCTAACTACCACTTAAAGGCACGTCTGAATGTCACACCACAGCTTTCAAGTGGTAATGAATGACTTCTGCTATATTTCTTAGAAGTTGTGGAGAACGTGAGCATGTCACATTCATAATTCAATCAGTCGAAAAGTGAAAGAAAATTCAAGTAGAAATTTTCGGCCATTGTAGATAGACATTGTTTGGTATATATTGAAATCATATTGTTTACTCCATAATATATATGTATATAGTATAATTAAAATTCAAGTAGTGCGTGTGGACCGACATTAATTGGTACATATTGTAATCATATTAATTGTTTAGTGCCGTTGGCGGTGGGTCAAATAACCCATTTAGTGCCATGGAAAATTCAAGTAGAAATTTTCGGCCATTGTAGATAGACATTGTTTGGTATATATTGAAATCATATTGTTTACTCCATAATATATATGTATATAGTATAATTAAAAGTCAAGTAGTGCGTGTGGACCGACATTAGTTGGTACATATTGTAATCATATTAATTGTTTAGTGTCGTTGGCGTTGGGTCAAATAACCCATTTAGTGCCATGGAACTTTCATTGCACGTGTTATATAATGTAACTTCTTTTTATGCTATGTATTATTTATATAGCTTCTTTCATTTATTCATTTTTTTGGTAAATATTCTTCATTAAAAATGATAAGTACCTAATATTTGGAAATGAAAGTGGGTATGGAATTAATTTGACTTATTATAGATCCATAAATATCAAGTCTTTAATTATTTGTTTTCCGTGGGAATTTTATAGAAATTTTGGAAAGTACCCATGTATCAAAATACCCATGTTAACTATTTGTGTATTATCTACAAATTTATTAGACTTCGTTTCACTAATAAATTGTTAATTACCATTCAATACAAAATTTTGAATATAATGGGATGTATTTTTTCTAACATGTTATTAGAGATGTTAGTACCCTTATCATTTTTCCTAGAAGCCAACATGAAAATGATTACCAAAGGGCCTTTGACCTAATGGTATAACTTTCTCATCTTTAAAGAAGATGGAAGGAATTCGATCCCGAGGGTGAACAAAAAAGTGTATATATGTTTGTTTTACCATCCCAAAAAAAAAATCATGAAAAATGATTTGTGTTGCATTTCTCAAGTCATTTGGTCTTCTAACGTAAAATGTCTTAACGAAGAATATCATAGTGTAAAATGTCTTAAGAAAGAACATCGAAGTCAATATTAGTAATGCTATTTTACCACGATGCCGTGGTAAAATGTCTAAACGAAGAATATCGAAGTGTAAAATGTCTTAAGAAAGAACATCGGAGTCAATATTAGTAATGCTATTTTACCACGATGCCGTGGAAAATGTGAGCATGTCACTTTCAAAAGTCAATCAGTGAAGGATTGAAAGAAAAAAGAGAAAAAAAAAAGTTGTTATGCCGGAAAGGGACAAAAGTAGTGAAAAAGTAGATGCCATGCTCCGTGGGTACTAATTAAAGCTTCCACAAGATTACCAAAACGAATGGCTTGTTTAAGGTAATATTATAAGCAAGCCAAAAGGTTGCAAGGTGCGAGATATAATATTATAAATGGGTAATTTTGGTGTCAAAAGTTCAAAATAAGTACAATCTTGTTGTAAATTTTTAGTTTGATTTTTAAGACTCAAGATTGGATGCGGAATGATTTTTAAGACTCAAGATTGGATGCGGAATTGAAGATTGATCATGCCTACTCTTTGATATACTCCACGATGATGAGAACAATGTATTAGTAAGGTATGAGTATGTGAGAACATTTGCATGTTTTCGGGTTTAGGCCTTTAGGAAAAGATTTTTAATTATAATTTTTTTTTTTTTTTTTTTTTTCAAATTGCCTTTGCGGAACCGGATCCGTCCCACATAATCGGTTCCGCGAATGAAGCTTTTCAAAATTAAGTTTACTTAGAAAACTTTTGGCCAATTGAATTGGTTCGGTGGCACGGAACCAGTTGCACTCTTGCTGACCAAACAAAAAACTACAGTCCTAGTCTATTTTGGCTTTCTCTTTTTAGATAGAGTATGGAATAATGATCATGCTGAAAATTAACTTGTTTTCCAAGTATAATTAGCTTTTCAAAAATCAATAAATACATGTTTTCTCAATTAGGGTTCGCCTTTTGCATAATAAATTTCTAAACTATTTTGAGAGCCAACTGTGTGAGAATTTTTAGAGTATTTATTTTTTATTGAGAGAATACACACCATACACACGAGTGACTTGGGCATTGTTCTTATTTTGATCGGAGCACCAGCTTTTGAAGAATTCATCGAGTTCGATCTAGAAAGTAAAATTTCTTCCTTCTACATCAAAATATGATTTGAAGGGCAATTATACTCTAAAGGGGTCAAAGCATTCGTAGAGTGTTGTTTGATTTACCTGTAACCTTTTTACAGATATCAAGAGTAAGTATGAGGTCGAGAGGTGTTGGACTGGGGAGTCGCAAAGTCAAGGATTGTTAGTGATTGGTTTTTGGTAGAACGATAGGGTGTGAGTCTGAGTCAAAGTTCAGTATACTTTGTTTCAAATATAATGGATCAAAAATCCTGATCTCATCTTTCAACTTTAGTTACTTTATTTACACTCTATTTTTTGTTTGTGGGTTTAATTTTAATTTTATTTCAGTAACATTAAAATAAATAAAAATTAGATAGAAGAGCAAATAAAATCTATTCACTAACTCTCTAAATTATTTTTAATACAAAATTTCACATCCGCGTAACCAACACCAAGATCAATTTCACATCCGCATAACCAACACCAAGATCATGGGGGTGTTTATATATATATATATATATATTCATGGAAGCTACCAGGAATGAGATTGGTATTGCATTTCTCAAGTCAATTGGTGAACCATTTTTGCTATTTTTCGTCCAAGCTGTGGAAAATGTGAGCATGTCACTTTTACAAGTCAATCAAAGGAAGACAGAGAAATTTCAAAGTATGGACATTGGTTATGGTTTGGACATAAAGCGACTCAGACAAGCCATTTAGTGTTGTGGGCCAAAATTGAGAATGGCGTTTTGGAAATTAATTTCTTGATGCTTTTGATAGTATTTGACATTTCTTAAGAAATTTGATATTTTAATTTGAGAATGGCATTTTGGAAATTAATTTCTCAAAGCTTTTGATAATATTTGACATTTCATAAGAAATTTGATATTTTAATTTACATGTAACATGTTTGATATACATATACGATGAATGCCTTGTATTGTTTAATTCCAGAGTTGAGTCAATGTTTCATTAATTGTATAATATGATTTATGTGCATGTAGCATTTGTTGTAAAATGGCACATTTGAGGGGCTGATAGCTTAATAATCATGTACTGTAAATGGAACAGTCACTTGCTCAGATGACTAATATTTAAATGGAATGAAAGAACAGTTGCTATATGATGCTGCAGCAATTCAAACTATATGTAAACACTGAACTTTCCATATGAATACTACATATATATCTATCTATATTATCACTTAACAACCCTGTGTTAATTAAAAGCTTTTACAAAATCAAGACAGAGAATTCATACAATATATAAACATATGGAACTCCTAAGCAAGTACATAACATATAAATACAATATAATATGCCAATTTTTTTTCTCATGCAAGCCTTCTACACTTCACCAGAACGGCAGAGCCAGAAGAAGATGTGCCATCATTGTTTAAAGAAGTGAAAGCCACGGGATTTGCCTTCACGTAATCACGCCACTCATCAATGTAAGCCAATTTATCAGCTGTGTCCAGACTAGGAAGCTTACGTTCTTGAAGGATTTTCAAGATCTCTTCCATTTCACCAATAAGTTGAGCAGCATGCAGGACACTGTTCTCCCTCTTTTCTACGCCACAACAAAAGAATTTCATATTTATGACACGCGGTAAGTTGGTGAGGCAAGCACACAATATATCAGCGATCATAATAGATAATTGCTCGAACAGTGTCTCATTGCTGCCTTCATGAGCTTGAAGCAGTATAGACGTCATTGCTGTCTCATCAGTTTGGTGAGTCCAGTCTTCATGGTCTTGCAGCACAGTTTGGCTGATTCTGTACATTGAATTTGCAGCAATAAGATTGATGGGCCAATTCAGAGGGTCTTCCTTCGGATCTCCATTCATGTTTTTAGCAATGTCAGCAAGTTTCTTAAGTGTCTCCGCGGAGTTTATTCCTTCACGTGCAATTTTTCGGAGATCTTCATTTAGCCACATGCGGAAAACATCAACTCCTAACCACACTGAGTCTGCTGCATTTCTGATGTTTACCATATCACTTCTGACATTCAAGAATTTCTCTACAAGTTTGGCATACACGAGGCCTTCACTCACACTTCGAATCAACCACTTCACTTTGTCATCTTTAATGTTTGGAAGTGCAATGGCAATACTTGTAAGAGTAACCACAGCAAGAGACCAACAATTAGGAAATTCTACAAAATATACAGATGAAACTTTGTCACTGTCAAACCTTGCCACCCCCATGAATGAAGTAGATTTATCTAAAAGCTCTTTCAAAAATTTTGGCCGCCGCTTTTCACCCTTCTGAATAAAATGATCAGTAGCATCCCAGTTGTTCTTCATAATCTGCAAGGGTAGTTCCTCCTCGCCTTCAAGAAACAAAACATAACGGCTAAGATCCAGTTCTGTAGGGCCAGATTCTGATCTTTTGGGATTGCTTGAGGCAATATGTTTAGATATGAACTTGTACAAGCTCCCAAGTGACAAGAATGGTATTATTAAGACAAAAGAGATTAGCAAATTTAATTTGCTAGCCGAGACAATCACAATTTGAACTCCTTTACAAAAGTCCAGAATTAGATTCTTTGTGTTATGAACAAATTTTTTGCATATTTGGCTCTGGACTTGTAAAGCTAAGGGTCTCTCTTTCCACCCTACTAGCCTTTTGATCCAATAATTTTCTGTTTTCAACACAGTTTTGTAGCTCTTGGCCCTTTTCTCTGAACGCCTCAATCTTATGGTGGTGAAACATCTTATTGCCGGGGCAATTGTACCCACTACCACGCCAAAAGATTGAATCACAAGAATGACAAAGGTTGACCACTTATAATCCGATCCAACATATTTTGGATCATATGTATAGAAGCTGCCACCATGTAAGAACAGTACCCTAATATGCACTTTTACTAAAGTGAGTGCAGCCAAGAAACAAATTGTCCCTGAAGCATAGCAGGTAACTGAACGAGCCACAACAAACTGAGGGCTACCAGTTTTTGCCATCATCCAATATTTTTTTACATCTACTTTCAATTTTTCAATGGTGAACTTTTTGGTTTCCTCCGATTCTTCACTTGAAATTATTTTGTGTTTATTATCATAATTCAGTTGAAGACACTTTTTAGTGGTGGAAACCGTCAAAGCTGAGAAACACGACACTAGAAGCAAAACAAGCATGAAAGAGAGAGCTACAATGTATTCTACCATGATAAAAATATCTATTACTCCAGTAATTAATTGGATGCAGATATTAACAGAAATAGTGATCAGGAGAATAGCCAATGCTATTATGTTCATGAAAATTTCTGCGTCATCCATAGCTCCTAAAGATGGCATGAAATTACCTATAACTGTACACATGAAGGTGGTGCTGGTAAGTTTCGCCAGCTGATCTACAGGGGTTGGCATCCCAGCACTTAGATCCACTGGCAGCTTCATTGCTACACCTAATAATGTCAGGTAAGCAGCATTGAGAGTGAAAAATCTGCATGGAAACCACAGTTTTCTGTGGCTAAACCCGTGGAAGACGTTAGCAGCCATTGTGAGGGAGCACACTAGAGATGCTGCTGCAACATAGATGCCGATCCATGGCATTGGTGATGCATATTGCTTATTTACTCCGTGGTCGAAGCAGCAGGCATCACTGATTTCATTGTAGGTATTGCAGGAGTCCTGCTGACTCAAATAATTGTCGTTGGAGCAAGACAGGTTGTAGTTTTTCCTTAGGTTGATTGCATTCCATTTCCACTCATAGTATTCATCGCATACCGACATTTTTTTTTTTTGGTATAATTATGACCGCTATTTTCTTTTGGGAAAAAGAGGAGCTTGGGTTGTAGTTGCTGGTCCTGTGAATATATGCTACTATTTATATTAATTATGTTCACATATATATATATATAGCTTTCATGTTGACTTGTTCCACTAATGGAGTCAATTATTGTCCCGCTACGTTTGGAGACTCGAATGGATACAATTTCCATCAATGTACGTTCCTAGAAGTTTTGGAGGATGTGTGGTTGGCTTTAAGTTTCTGAAGATAATTAGAACTTTTAAGCCAATAAGAGTCAGTGTTGCGTAAAACAGTAGAGTAGAATAATAAGCTCTTAAGATGCCATCACTCATTTTTAAGGTAAGGAGATATTGCTGAGGTCTGCAGACTGCCGAGTATTTATTTATTTTTTATTTTTTTATTTTTTTGGTAAATAAGTTTCTTAAGAGTGATAGCTTTAGAGATTACTTATTCCAACAAATAATAATATTAATAATAACTCTTTTATATAGGGCAAAAATAGTGGGAAAAAAAAAACTTCGTAGATGGGTATAAAGGATAAACCTAGCTAAGAGGCTATTTTGAGACTTCAGGGCAGGCATATCATTCAATCTATTGGAACGGACAAATCTGTGAAATAACTTTTCTTGATACAAACAATATTGTCAGCTAAGCTGCATCGAGAGTTAAAATTTTATATAACTTGTAAGGGAGCAGACGAGATGCTGCTGCAACATTTACAGGTTTCTTTCCATGGAGTTGGAGATTTGAACCGTTCTTCCTTTTTCTCCTTGTAGCAGTAATGATAACCAAAACATTATTCTTTTTTTATTTTTTATTTTTTATTATTATTATGTTCAAATTAAAATTCTTATGAACAATTTCTACCATTTTTCTCGAAGCTGTATAGAATGTGATTGATGTTAATTTCTAAGCCTGAATTGTCATTGCTAGCTAGTGTGAATGTGTAAGCTTGTCGAGAAGATTCCCAAAAAGTTTCCATGTCTAGTATTATTATTTAGCACGTCATTAGACTTTGTTCCATTAACAGTTGAGAGGGAGAACTCATAGAAAACTAATAATAATAAAATGGGACTTACTCTTTGCCTAGTTGATAGAGTATTCAATTTTTCCGGTCGGTGTACGGTGTTTGAATACTCCTCTCCCTAATTTACATAATAATAATAAATAAATAAAAAATCAAGTCGACATTAATAAAAAAAAATTAAGAATAATTAGTGGCACATTTGATGCTTATAAATATCATTTTTATTTATAAATCTATCATTTCTTTATTGTATAATTCAAGCCATCCAGATCAACTAAAGATTGTCAAATAAATAGAGTTATTTAACATAATCGCTCTTTGGACAACTAGTATATGATAGGTGATGAATTATTTTTGGGTTAATTTCACTAACACCCCCTCAAGTTTGATCAAATATCACTCTCAAACATTTTTCGAAAATAACTATCACCTATGTCCATTTTCACTTTTTCGTCATAGTTTCCGTTAAAAATATATAAAAAGACAATTTTGTCCCTAAATACCCTTTGACTTGGTCAAAAGTGCTCTTTAACCTAAAAAAAAATTAAATAAAAAGACTACAATACCCCTAAATACATTACAAATTTACAAGTATAGATATATCATATATATATATTTTTATATGTATGCATACATATATATATATATATATATACCAAGCAGGAACCTAAACGAGAACTTTCCCCTCTTCATTCCCTCACCACCACCGAATTAATGAGAGTAGCAAATTTAGATTAACGTCAATCCTAATTCAAAGTTCAAGATTCGTTGACCAGGGGAAGCCAGGATTCATTGAAAAGGAAGGTGTCATTTATTAAGGAAATCTGACGATGAGCAGGTTTCAGTAGATCGATTCAATTGCCGTGTATCTCCACCAGTTGTGCCATATCTCTGTTGTTTGCCGTAATCAGCGGCCCCACCGGCTCCTTCTTGGCTGAGACCCTCGCCGCCAACGGGATCTAGACCTTCCTCTTCGAGACTCGAGTGCAACCTGTCAGTGCCATACCTCTCTCCATGATCGACGAGTTCTCCATCCCGCCGGAGTTCATTGACCGGAAAGTGACCCACCATGGATATCTTACTTCGAACCCTTTCCTAACATCAATCTGGTATTCTTTACAATTCCAACACAAGGCGCTCGATCTGATGCTTAAACCTCTTCCCTAGTTCGTTACTCGACCCCATAGTTTAGGCTTTGATTCAGACCCTTATGCCGTTTACGATTGAGTGTCGGAGAAAGGAACATGATCTTGTATATATATATATATATATATATATATATATATATATATATAATTTGTAAATTTACAATAAATTGAGGGATATTTTATTCTTTTAATATAATTATTTATGTTAAATAGTTGTTTTAACAAAATCAAAAGGTATTTAAGTCATTTTACATCTTGTTATAACTGTTTAACTAATAATTGGGATGTGAGTGAAAAACGGAACAAAAGTTTGTAATATGAGTGATAGTTGTTTTCGAAAGATATTTGAGAGTGATATTTAGCCAAATCTGAAGGAATGTCAGTGAAATTAACTCATCATTGTTTAAGAAAGCTAGTTACTAGTTATAATTGTTGGGAAACGTGCTAGTTTTAAAAACTTTTTGAGGGATTTTCATTCACAGATCTTGATTCATCACATAGAGACAAGTTTTATGCAAAAATAAAATATGATGTGTCATTCAATTAACAGATTGAATACTTACATCAAAGGTCTGAGTAAACCTTTAAATCTTTCCTCTAAAGTGAATATTCTCACTTATTGTAGATCCCTTAGCAAGATGCCTTTTCCTTGGATCTCCATCTTCTTGATAATTGTTTTGCCTTTAGGAATCACTCATAAGCCTCTATGAATGACCTTAGAAAACTAGGCTTGTGGGAGCCTCCATTAGATGAGAACATTAACCCTAATTTTCTAGAGAAAGAAAATGTGTATTCCTTTTTCCTCCTACCAAAAATCATACCTAAAATATACATAGACCATGTATATATATAGGCAACATAAAGATAAAGAAAAGGAAATAATAAATCTTTCTCAATCTCTGATTCACATGTCTCAAATCTAATAGGATTCCAATATCAAGTTGGGCTATAAGTGAGAATCCTTTGGATTTATTATTTTATTGGCTACAATGAATTAATAATTGGCTCGATCCATGGACCCAATTCAATTAATTCATAAATTAATTTCTATTCCACTAAAAGAAATTAATTGAACTCCAATTAAATAATAAATAACCTCTAAGTCAATGTTACACTTTGACCCCTCTATGCATAATTAATTATCGGATAAATAAATCCAACAATCCGACTACTTAATTAATATATTTATTTTGCTACCATTAATTATTTCTGGCTCGATCACAATAAAACATTGTCTCAAAACACACGAAGGCCTTCGAATTTACTTTGTGATCAACCATAATTAATACAAAATAAATACAAGTAACAATGATGCAAATATTGAAAATATAATTTTCTAATTATTAATTACATAACTACCTAAAGTGTCGGTCTAAGGATCCCGAAGTATCCGTCGAACAAATCAAAGTAATTATTAATTAATAAAAGAGTTTATATTTTTCTCATGCTTAAGAGTCAAATGCCATGACGGTGATAGGGAGTAATTGCATACGACGGCTCTCGCAATATATCTCAACCTAACGCGGATCCAGTTCAAATCTTAATTAATTATGAGTCCATCCATAATTACCGACTATGAACAATTTATGATTACTATTTATATTCATGTATTGATCGCCATCACATACATATATAAATATCTCTTGTAAACAAGTGGAAACTATCAATTCTATAATGAATCGAAACATAATACATTTAATTCACCAATTGTATAAAGCATAAATATTTCAGAAACGTCAGGAACATATGTCACTATAATCCAAATAAGAATCTGCCATGCCAGGGCATATAAATGTTAGAAATTATGTCTCAAATTCCCATTATTATTAATTTCTATTTTAGAGTGTAATTTTATGGTAATTTCTTATAGACACGTGAATTGGGCTCTAAGAAATTGTAATCCTTGTCTACAAAGGAATTGGGTATGTGACTTTATAAATAGACACTTAAGTTATTGTTGAGAGTTATGAGTTGAGAGAGATGTAGCCTCATGAGGGAGTATGTTAATGGTAGGGATGAGTTACGGGTTTGGTAGAGTGAACACTGATGGCGAGAGGGAGTCTCGTGGAGTACACGGAGAACTCGGTCAAGAGTTTGTGTACATGGTCTGGTGTTGAAATTCTCTACTATTGTAATATCTCTACATATATAGTGAATCTCTTCTAATCTGTGGATATAATCTTGATTTTGAGAGAACCACGTACATATCTTGTGTTGTGGTTTGAATTATTGTTTTCTGTAATACCCCTAATTTCAAAAGGATAGTCTTGGTAGTATTTTAATTACTTTAATTGCATTTTAATTATTTATTTGTTTCTTGGCTAATTGTTTATTTGATTAATTGATTTAATTATTCGTTTAAATGTATTAATTGACTTATTTGTTTAAATTAAATTGTTGTCTGATGATATGTATTTTAATTGTTAGGATTTAAATATTTATTTTATGTTTTATGTTTAAAGGAGTTGAACTTGGATAGTAGTAATGGGTTTACCAATTAGGCCCTATGGATTACTTGGATAGGAGGAATAATGGGTACGGATAATTACCCATGGATTGTGTACATATATATACGGGTATATATGTATATATTTATAGGTATTTTATTTCTTAAGTTTTATTTGTATAGTTTATATATATATATATATATATATATATATATATATATATATATATATTTATATACATGGATGTATTCAAGGATGAAATCATGAAATACTAATTAAGGTATATAATACACAGCTAGTTATTATATCTTTATTATTATAGTTTATATTTTTGTTTATTCAAGTGTTATATTAATAACTTTTAGGAATCAAATTTGTCCTTTAGTATTAGATGCTTTAGGTCTGTACGGAGGCCATGTCTTATAATAGAATTGGG